TTGGAGAAACCCCTCGAAACCTTTTCGCCAAGTATGATTGTTTTCACCCTGTGTGCGACATCTCCATTACCTCTAACTTTGCTTGTTAATGCCAGTGACTTCCTTTACTGTGTAGGCTTCTATAATTCCTTATTTTTTTGGATTGTATACCACTTTTTTCTTACTTATGCACTTAATTTCAATTGCTGCTAAGCTCCAATAAAGTATGTATTTTACCTCAAAGGGGTTTTCTCATGATTTCCTGATCAGTGGTACGGATTTCTTGGTTTTTCTAATGATTATATTACACATTTTGAACTAAGAAAACATAAATTTAACTTTCCTACTTAGTGAACTATTGTTCTGAGAAGTTGCAGAATTGTCCTGGCAGAAACTAGGGAGAGATGTACAACAGTTCAATAAAGATGCCTTATCTATGTGAAATAGTAACGTGATCCTAACAAATGAAGCTACTTTCCTAATGCTTAGCAAGAAGGTGACATCCTTGCTTGCTGTAGTGCATGTGTTTTACAGGCACTCAACCCGCGGCAGTCTGAGAGTATGACGTTATGACCCAGCCCTCACCACCACTTTGGAGTCTTAGTAGAAGGGACTTTAAAATTATTATTTTTATCCATGTAGTTCTTCCTTTCATGGCTATTTATGCGTAATGCTTGTTCACATTTCTGCATTATGGGCTCTTCTTACAATGTCATCGGCTCTCACAATATATTCCACTTAATGAGAACATTGAGCATATTTGTAGACCACTGCTCCATTCCCTATAACACTTTTCTGACCTTTTTTCAACATATCTTCTTTTTCATTTTTCTTTATATATATATATGTATATATAGCGATGGATATGCTTAGTACCAAGTACAAAACTTGGTGCTTGGTACCAAGCTGGCACTATCCATATTCCTCATGTGTGTGTGTACACACACACACAAACGTGTACGCACACACATATGAGGAATATGGATAGGCTTTATACCAAACACCAAACTTGGGGTTTAGTAGTGAGGGGGTTCATTTCCATCCACTCACTTAAAAGGCGGGACCACATTCATATGGGTTGGATAATTAAAGGGTGGTTATTTTCAAGTAGTGACCATTTCAATGAGTGGATGAGAATGAGACCTCTCACTACCAAGCACCAAGTTTGTGCTCGGTACCAAGCATATCTATTTTTCTTATATACATACATACATACATATATATATATATATACATACATACATACATATATATTATATATATATATATATATACATATATATACATATACATATACATATACATATATATACATATACATATACATATACATATATACATATACATATACATATACATATACATATATTTACATATATATATGTATTCTAACTTAGGGTTCTCTGAGTATTAGTGGAGTATGGTAGTAAATCTCTTTTTATCCTGCATCATACCTAATTTTTATGTTCTGTACCCATTTCGTTTCAAAATAAACTGTCATAGCTCCCTTCTTTCTTACACCTTGTGAGTGGCCTCTGCTATCCGATCAGTTACTAGTTCATTTCTCTTTTTGACAGTTTCGTTTGGTTCTTAAGTGCATTTCCCCCTCAATTTATTACATATGCAGATGGATGTTAAATGATTTTTTAATGACTATGTACAGGTGCAAGAGAGCGAATTTATATGGCACAAATGACAAATCTAGTTAACATCGAATCTTATCCCCATAGTGATCACTATATTATGAGTAGTAAAAAATTATCTCACCACTATCACCTAGTTTCAACGAAACTATGTTTAGTTATGGAACATTTCATGAAATGCAGTACAACCTGCCTTACCTTCTAGCGACACAAGCTTGTCAACCAAGGAGCAAAAAGTAAAAATAAAATAAATTTCATTGTTATCCATTGCATATTTCTTTAGTTACAGCACTTACACTTGGTTAATCATACCCATTTATCATGATAATGCTGCCTCTTTGTCTGGATGTGCATGATCTGTTGAGTGACAGCACAATGAGGCACTAATTTCTAAAGTAATATTGACAAAGGAAGCTGACAGTTTATTGGTTTGCGGTTGCAGAGATTTTATATGGTGAAGCCTTGTCCAAAAGAGATGAAATGTGATGTTGAGGTGAGATTACCTTTTCATTCATGGGATATTTTGAATGAAAAATGGGTATAGAGACATCTTCCTATGTATATGTATAACTTTGTCATATTAGGGATCCATCTTTCTACGTTGATGGTGGAATTGTAGTTTGTATTGTTGCTCGACCAGATACTAGCTTTTTGTCCAGCTAATACATACAATCAACCAAAAACAATCATCTTTCCCAGAGGAACCATTTGCATATATTTTCTATTAGAGTTTATTGCTAACTGAACACCTTATGATTTAACTATTTAACTTGTTTGAATGGCCAGCTGAGCTCTTATGCCATAAGGGATGCGGAAGAGTACAAAAACTTTTGTGATCGTCCAAAGGACCAGCGCCCTAGTGCTGAAGAAGTTATTGGGGTATGGCCTATTAAATGTAAAAGTTTAATGATTCTTTTTTTCCAACTTTCCCCTGATCTTTCATCTCTGTAGAAAGGACTTGAATTCTATCCTTTTGACTAAATGGTTCCGCCTCATATTTCTATGCAATAAAGGGAAAGATTTGTGTATGCTTTCGTTTGAAACATGAACTGGACTTCAATTCCCAAGGGGAAAAGAGGGGAAGGACAGGGGAGGATTAGAGAACACTAATCTGCGGTTTTGGGAAATTGAGGGCATAAGTTCCATTTGCCAGCATCATCATCTTTCTTTGAATATCAACAACCAGAGTGAACTATTCATATAAGATATGACTTATCCATCCGGGCTGTTTTCTGTTTGACATGTGAGAAGCTAATAGCCATGGTTAATATAAGCTTGTGCTTTTAGTGTATGCAAAACTAATTTATAGAATGTCCCAATCAACAGGACACATGCATTATGTTGACAGCACTCTTGGCTATCCTAGGTTCTTATACATTTCAGTGTTTAGATTCTTCAAGTCAACAAAATAGATGGTTTAAAAAAGATCACTGCTTTATCAAACTGATTTACTGGGCAAAACATGTGCTTGTCAAAAAAGTGAAAGACATGCGATATGTAATCGTACGTTGACTTTATGTATTCGTATGCATGTCTTTTATCTTCCTGCTCTTTCTTGCATGAGTGCATCTGATTACTGTATATGTATAATCATACAAATTATCCGATAATCATAGGGGCGTGCTCTTCTTTTCTTTTACGTATAAGTAAACAATAAATAAATCTAATGGTACTCTTTTCATAACAACAAAAATTCAGTAATCTGAAGTAAAGTTATTTCCAGCACCTTGATTGTTGTTGATTATTGCACTAATCCATTATCACCAGTCTATAGTACTAGCATATTGTCTTCTGTGATGAGGTCTATCAGAAAGCAGTTTGAGATATAACGAAAGAAATGAATGAAAAAGTCCCCTTGAATTGCAATCAAGTATTTCAATTGCCCATCATGATGTTTTAAATTCAAACTTGTAGGACTTTGTAGCATCGTTATCCGAAAGGCAATAAATAAATATGTCATAGCTCATAAGAGTTAAAAGTGCACGCGTGAAGAAGCTGTATAAGTTCATGGAATTAAAGATCATATTTCAATTGAGTGACTTGTCATGAGACAGTTTACATCTATCTACATAAGATCAGGGCTCAGCTTTTCCACAGATGATGCAGGAATCATAATCTCATTACACATGGTTTTATTACTCTTTTTATGCCTTAACCTCTGTCTCTGCTAAATACTAATTTTTGGTGTATAACACTATAAGTTTTAGGAGTTACAGATTTACAAGTTAAACTTGTTTCTAATCCTGGTATTGTGATCAGGATATTGCTGAACACTTGACAACCATAAACCTCTCTCGATGTGAGCGTGGGAAGCGCTGCTTGTACGAAGGTTCAACATCACCTGGTGGTTTCCCTAATACCTGGGTACCCTACTCTCTTAGCCTCACTGCTATAATGTTTTTTAAGGATAAATAGCAGATAATCCCTTCAGCAATTGTCACCCCTCATTTGTTAGCACTTATCATCCCTCAATCCATGAGCGAGGGAGTTCATCTGTAATTTATCCTTCTCAAAATGGCAATCCAGGGGTGGTACGTGCTATTGAAGGTATATAATTATTTTTTGGGGGAAGAAAGAGGGATTTTATTTACCCCACTTTTTCATTACGATGTATTTTTTGTTTGCGCCAGATTGTGGATGCATTACACTTTCTAGTTGCGGTCTATATGTGTGTGTGCGCGCGCGCGTGAGTTTGTCTGTGTGTGCGTGTCTATGCATCTGTAGCTATGTCAAAGCACCTAGTCCCAATCCATCTAAGGTGAACAGCCAATCTGAATTTTGAAGTCAATGACCAGATACAAACCAATAACCTGTTACTTCTCTCTTGCACAGAAGCATACGTAAGACTACTCATTTACTAAATTCCAGTGTATAACAAACAAATCACATTGAGCACTCTAACATGCCAATTGCCAGATTCACTCTAGTCATGGTTTAGATTAAAACTGCTGGTGCCTAGGCAAGCGACAGCCAGACCTCGCACTTCTCTTTGCACATAATGTTGGTGTTTACATTCTTTGAGTTAGGGAATTATCAATGAAGGTAGTGAATAAGCAAAATAGATTACTAATATACAACATTCGCCTTTTTTTTGGTGGGGACGGGGGTACTGTTTTGAAATATACTACAAAGTTGTTTAATACCAACTGAAAATTAACTTCTACAAAAATGTTGGGTTATTTGCATATATCTTAAATCATGTGTATGTGCACAAATACCCCCAAATCTTCATATTTGCGAAATTTCCCCTCAAATCATCAACTTTGTGTCAAAAATACCCCTAAAATCTACAAATCATCAACTTGGTGCTAAAATTTTGACTATTTTCTTAATAATTTTTACATTGCTAGGACAAACCCCCCCCCCCCACCCCCCACCCCAAAAAAAATTTGATGATTTGAGGGGAAGTTTTGCAGATACTGAGATATGGAGGGTATTTTTCAAATACCCATGATTTAAGGCGTATATATGCAGATAACGCAAAATGTTGTGGTATAACAAATTGAATTGTGAATATGAAAATATAATAGCATCTTAAGAGTTTGCAGCCTCAACAAATGGCCACCCCTTTTTGGTAAGGAGGGGAAATTGCACTTTGTATTTATTAGGTGAGAATCACAAAATTTACTGTGCTTTCCTATTCCAGTTTTAAATTCCTGCTCTGTTGAATCATTTCCTTTTCTTTTTTCGGGGGTTTTCGAGATGTTTTTCCTTCTGATTTTGTAACATTCAATCAACCCTCACCTTCTTGACTCAAAAAAGAAAAAGATCACAACCATACTCCATTACAACTATTTTACGTAATCCATTTCAAATATTCTATCAGGTTTAGCTTAGTTTCCATAGGTTTCTGAACCGAATCTGACCCACTGCAGCTCTATAAATATCTATTCTTTGACATGAAATTATAATTTTTTCAGTCCAAATAAATCTCCTTCAAATTGATTTTTCCCCCCCTCACAGAATGGTGCTGCATACTGTACATCTGAGGTTACGATTCACAAAAACGGTGAAGTACATACTTGGGACAGAGGCTATGATGACGATGGGAATCAGGTAGGAGTCTCAAGCCTAGTTTTTATTCATATCTAAAGAGCAGAAAAAGGAAAAGTAAAAGAAAAAAAAAAATAAACCTCATTTCATTGAAATTTACGAGTACACGTATTGTTAATGAGCAGGTTTGGGGAGCTAAAGCAGGCCCTTACGAGTTTAAGCCGGCACCTCCATCAAGTCATAATGAGTTCATCTCGCCGCTAAATTTCACCTCACCATTGTCATTAGAAAAGAAAATAGAGGGTTCATTTGTATTGAAGGAATGATGGCATTTGTGATGTGTATATATTTGTTTACATATCGAAACCAAATTTCTTTCTGACCTCTACAGCTGATCCTTTGGAGAAAGAAAGCCAAGGTTAATGGTGAAGTTCGATATTTTTGTTGCAAGCAGGGGATTTTTATGGATTCCTGTTGGTAGTGTTGGGTACAGCATTTTTGTGTACTTTTCATGTAGTTTATGCTGTATATTATGTTTACAGTAGTAGAAAGAAAATTCAGTTGCCCAAACTTTAGGTCTTTGTCTTGTGATTAGTCACAGATCTTTGGCATTTTGAGATATTGATTTTCTGCGGCTATTGTTTTAAACTTTGTAAAGTATTTGAGGTTTTGCTCGAATCAGCATGAAATCATGGTATAAATCAATAGATCATGGATTCTTCCATCAGGGATTCATTACTTCAATCCATAATATAAATATGTTCAATAGATATAATCAAGTCAACATTGTGAATTATTTATTGTATATACTACTAGAAAAAGAGGATTAGGGTGGTAAAACTTTTAATTTCTTTTTTACCCTCTCAAATTTTGATAAATTCTTACTACGCTATTATTTTTAATTAATCTATCACTAAATAAATATTACCTCTTATTTATTATGAACCTCCTCAACTTCCTAAATAATTATGATTATCAATAACATTATAACTATTAATTGTTTAAAACTAATATAATAAAATAATTTAGAAAATAAGTTTACACAATTATTAGTAGTAACCAATTAAATTATTATAATAATTATTTATGAATTATAATAAAATAATTAACATAATAGTATAAATAGAATAATATATTACTAAATACTATTAAGAATTATACTATATTTCAATGATCAATAAAGTAAATAGAATAAATATTTAATCGCATAAATAGTATAATTATTTTAGTAATATCACATAAATTAGGAATTATATTATGTATTTAGTATTAAATTATTACATAATTTGAATAAACAATTTAATATTATTTTTTAAGTATTTGCTCAAAGATTATTACATGATACTGAATAATATATATCTAGTAAAACTAACTTTTCAGAAAATTATTTAATATTAATAATAGTACTATTAATTATTAATGATATTATAATAAAATTTTATAAAATATTTATAGTACTAAATTAAAACTATTTAAGTGCATAATTAAAAAATTAAATTAGATAAATATTTTATAGTATAAAAATTGTATATTTATTTTAATAATAATACTTAAACTAAGAATTATACAGTAAACCTCATGAACTTTCAGCATTTTGTAGTAAATAGACCCTATGAACTTTTAAAATCACACTAAACCCCTAATAAGTTTTGTAAAAAGCTCTCAATATCTTTTAGATAAATTACACAAAACCTCCAACAACTTTCAATATGTCTTTTTATGATTCTTTAGTACAAATAAACAAGAAGAATGAAACTGATTTACTAAACATTTTTCTTATTGCTATCTCAAAAAACTATTTAATTTGAAGTTTGTACAAATTATACCGTTACGTGGTTTTTAATTCATATATCTATAGACTTGATGTGAATGTGAAAAGTGTATGTTATTAATGAATTATAATTGTGTGTTATTAAAGAATTATAATTATGTGTTTTTTAATTTTTGTTAGCACGCTAGATTTTACAACTATGGCATCTGTCAAATTTTAAAGTTTCCAGACTCAACAATATTGAATAAATCCGTGGGGTCTGAAACCCATCTTTGCTCTATTCTTCATGAGTTTTCCATGGAGATTTACCCATCAAAGCTGAATCCGATGCTCCCAAAGTTTCTTGCTTCGAGTTTGGTGATCGTTCACCGTATTTTCATGTATTTTGTTCTTTTCTAAATCAGCTGATGTATCTGGATATGTTCTTTTATGTATTTTAGCCTGAAATGACTTGATCCTTGAGAAAAAAACCTAAATTCACTGGACGATGTGATTAATTGTGATCATCTCACAAGCGTTTCACGTCTGGCTTGATCTTAAGAAGAGAACCCCATGAGAGCCGTGCGCCATGAGAACAAGCAAAATTCAAAAAATTTGCGGCTTTTCTATTAA